CAAAGAAGAGTTTTTAAAACTGTTATATTCTCCTTCTCCCTCTTAGCATTAAATCTTAACGATAAGACCATGTATCGTAGCTTCAATAGCACCAGTATAACTAAACTTACCAAACAAGCCACAGCTCTTTGGAATTCCCTTGGCTTTAGTCCTGGGTAGTTCTTGTCCATATCGATCTACGCACCAGCAGTAGCCAGAAGGGTCGCATTGTACAGGTTTGTAAGCACCATTGGAATCACAACGCGGCACAAAGCGACCAATAAAGTAATCTACTCTTTGCTGGCCTCCTTGCAAGGACTTCGTACACTCAGTAATGTTTTTAGCTTTAAAAAGATAAAACTAAGGTTATTATAAAAAATAAATGAAACTTTATTAACGTTTCAAATCGCTGTAGCCAGAAAACAAGTGTCCTACTAATTGGATACTCAGACCCACACATTCTACCTCAACATTGACTGTTTTAACATACGACATCCCATCTCTGTTTGTAATTCAGCTAAAAAAGTAAGACAAGTAACACAAAGCGACCAATCAAATATAGAAAAGTCTGTACTGGTCTCCTTGCATGGACTGATATTTGAAAATTTATTAGATGAAAAAGAGACAGAGGTTATTGGGTTATACCGCTTCCGTTGTTTCGTTCAGCTCAAAAAGTGAGAAAAAGTTAAATCAATCAATCAAATTTCTTCTTTGTCATTCTGTGAATAACAATTAAGTGTTACTCTGCTCGAGTAAACAAGAACTATCCAATATTGAAGAGAGAGTTACATCTATTAATACCGATTTTCTTTAGTATAGTAAAATGATTTTTGCAGTATTCCTAACGTAAAGATAGGCTAAAATACAGAAATTACACTTACGATTGTTTACGCATTCTGGTGCTTTTCCACGGACTCTAGTACCCCAAAGCTCATTTCCCCTACTGTCGACACACCAGCAATATCCTGTGACGTCATTGCACTGTACTGTCTTATAACGACCATCTTTTGTACAGGCAGACGAGAACATGCCATATATGGAGTCAAGTTGTTCTGACCAGATGAGAGCTCGTAGCTGGTCCATCACACACATACTAGGCACGGCTGTTTAAGTTAAAAAATATTATTATTACTATATTATTATAGAGTGCTTATACTATGTCCATGAAATAAAATCTAATTAGTTACTAACAAATAGTTCTTATTTATTGACTATTAGTTGCTATCACTCAACTGGAACAGTTGTAATGAGGTGCTGTTTCCTTTGTATTCGATTTCCCAAGTGTACAGAACGTATTCTTACTAAAACTGTTTCAGTTGAATGATAGTGACTAATAGCCACTAAATAAAAGCTATTTGTTAGTAACTATTTAGATTTTATTTCATGGTCATAGTGTAAGCACTCTATCAGAAAAAAAATATATTTCTTAAGTGAAAACGTCAGTTTTCATTATCGTTTAATACTAAAGAAATGATAAGAATAGGTTTGTAAATAATAGTTATGTTTTTAACGAGATATTAATATTATCACTACGTAAAGACGCAGTGGTATTATAATAAGAACAGCAAAGGATTCTGGTAAAGTAGTTACAGAGCGCTATGCATCTTGGGTAGTCTTATTTTCACTTCTTAAATTGAATCAAATGTAACCCACCTGACGCCCGTGAACATGAAGCTGCACCCTTAACTCTAGTTCCAGGTATTTCCTGGCCATAACGGTTCACACACCAACAGAAACCAGA